TAAAAAAAACACGCTTCTGTTCCGGCAAAACTCGTAAATAAATCCAAACAAAGCTATCCAGGTGCAGTTACATAACCATAGGGGAACTTTCAGCCAAGAGTTTTCTTCTCTACATTTAATTTAATAACTGCTTATTTACCGAGGATATGGTCAATACACTTTTTTCTGACTGTTTACTGTTGGCACAAATGCATTTGCTGAAGAGGGCTGTCAAGACAAACTCCTGGAATGCAGGAAATTGACAAACCGAAAACTGATGAATGGGTTTGCTCCATGAGTGACATCATGAACCCAGATGCCGCCCCCAGGATCGACTGATGTTTGCCACATCAGACAGAACATGTGTTCAGAATAAGGCTTCTCAAACTACGCCGACAGCCTGTCTGAGGAGGACATTGCTAATTTGTTAAAAATACCTATAGAAGAATTTGAACCAATTGCAGGTTTGAGAGTGTACGAACATACAGGCAACCTGGAGAAAGAAGTGTTTTTTTTGTATATTGCATGAGCTGTTTGGGGTCTCTGGCCCCTTGAAGGCGAACTTTCTCTTAACTTCAATGTTGAAGGACATCAAGAGGATCAACTAAAAACTGCATTTCACTGCAAATATAACACACTGTTGCCTTGACCATGCCAGATGATATGAATTTTTTTTTTCAGTCTTGGGCATGTGCATATTTGGACTACTGAGATCAATATGTGACTGCTGGATCTCTATCTCTATGCAAAATCTGAATGCTGCTCAGATGTGAAGTTCACCAAAAGGGGTGCACTATTGTGTGTATGATCATCGAAACTCATCCAGTTTAACGACAGGTTCCATTATGTAACTCTACCCCTGTATCCAGGGCATCCACTGTGTCCAACAACTGCACAACTTTGTTTCTTTCCAGTTGCTCCCCTCACCTCTTATTTTCAGTGTGAAAACCTATTCAGCGAACTGTGACAAGCCTTGACCACGCAAGAGACTCTCTGTACACGATTATAGTGCTCATAGCCTTCTCCAACATTTTGAGACTATCAAGGTCCTCAGAGATTGGTGATCAGACTCATGTTTGTTTATCTCAAAATGCCACCTGAGGGTCTATTTGATATTTTGCAACATTCATATGCCGTCCAGAGGTTTAGATTGTTTGTTTTTACCCTACATACATATGGGTTGAGAATGTGTCAGGTATTATGAAGATTATTACATTTTATGCTCTGCAAAGTTTGCCTAAGTTTTGGGTTTTGAGTTTAGTTCAATAAACATTATTACATTCGACCTGAAGTTGTTAAACAGTAAAATATATCAGATTATTGATATACCTGAAACTTAAGTTAAACATCTTGGCCAAATTCCCTTGTTTAGATGTTTGCAATCCAAGCGTTTTCACAAAGATACAGATCAGCAAGGAGGGAGAGCATTTCACATATTTTTTTCTCAGTAAACTTTGCTTTCAAATTTGACAAATTGTCCTGACCTTTTGAAGATAAGAGATGCATTTATATCTATGTTTAGTGACAAATGTTCCTTGGATCAATAATGAAGCTGTGTAGAATAGTGGTGTAAAAAGATGAAAAATCAAATGTTTTAACAGAATTGAACTCAGTTCTGTTTTCACTTTGCAAACATTCAAGCAATACATCTCTTGGAGTACATGTCTTCAGGTTTTAGACTTTGAAAGTACTTATGCATGGTTTTGGCACATGTCGTCCTCCATTATCTTATATCTTGTACATTTATGTGGATTTATTTGACAAGTTACTCAAAGTTTACTACGGATCAAGTTTTAAGGTATAAAAAATTCATCCAACAAATAAAGATTGAAATATCCTGGTACATAACGATTAAGTAACCCCTTTAGGATGAATTGACAGAGGCTGTGATAATAAATACACCTCAGGTCTCCCCACAAACAATGAAACGATTGCGTATATTCTGTTAAGTCCAGGTATCATTGCAGAAATAGAAATTAAACAGAGTTAAAGTCTGACGTACTGGGCCAATGCGTGCAGCCAAGTCTGATTTGACACGCACCAGAGAGGTTGAAAGGTGGGGGTGAAATCTCATCTAGAGGGTGTAGTTGACTGACTAGTGCCGCTGTTTCTAGAGCCAAGAGGAGGAACTTCTTCTTGGTGAGGTGGTAGTTCGATAAGTAGAGTGGCTCAAAGGGCATGCCTCTCATCTTTTGATCTTCTGAACCTGCCAAGACAGAGTTAAGTGCCACAAGGTAGGTCATAATGGTGCTGCCCTTCAGAAGACGCTAGTGGCGCACGAACCGAAGAAATTCAGCCAATAATTAGGGTGACGCAGAGGCAGGATCCTGGTGTTTCTTCTTGCTGAAACTCTAAAAGGAGCTCCACTTGTCGTCATAAAGGCCCAGGGTAGGTCTGTGCGCCAATGTGATGGTTTGGGCTGCCCTTGCCAAGAGGTTCTTGGCGCTTAGAGTTCTTTGTAGATGGGCCAGGCATGAAGATGTAACCCTTGTGGAGCCAGATAGGGCCATTTGCTGTTAGGGTGGATCAGCCTCTCGCCTGCCACCAAGGCGCTGTCAAAGTCAGATCGAGACTTGGGACCCTGGGAACGAGCACTGGTGGTGGAAAAGCGTACACTTTTACTTTTAGCCCTTCTTGGGGTTTGCTGAAGGATCTGGCACTGGAGAGATGAAGGTCCGGGCCTGGAAGAGGAAAGGCATCCGGATGAAGTTTCCACTCTGTGGGGGCTACCCCTTCTGGTCTGGAGAGGGCGTCAACAAGGATGTCCAGTTGATCGTTCAGATAGAAGAGCCTGAACGTCTGTCATAACAGGGCGCAGCAGTGAATCATTCCCTGATTGCGGAGGCACCATACGATGGTGATCTTGTCTGTGGATATGGTGATCTGAGCGTATTGAAGTGTCTGCTTCCAATGAGCTAGAGCTAGTCCCAATTGTCCCTGGGTATTGAAAATCGTAAGAGGGCTGAGCTCCAATTCTGGACATTGATGATCCAGCCAAACTGATGGAGGGGACACTGTGTGAAGTCACTCTGGAGGATTAGCTAGGTGTGTCCTGGTGGTTCAGAAGGCAGTCGTCGATGTACGCCTCAAACTGGACATTCTCCAGATGGGGGTAATTGGCTATCAGCTTGGTGATGCGTGTAAATAGCCACAGGGCTGAGGAAATGGGGGGACCAACCACTGATAATGGATTCCCTCAAAGATGAAGCGAAGGAACTTCCTGTCACTGAGATGTATCTGTAGATGCGGGTTACGCGTCCTTGATACCCAAGCTGATTGAGCGTGTGCATGATGGAGCAAAGAGCTACTGTTGTGTCGGGGGTATGTGACGGCAGTCTCGTCTCTGAGCGTGGGTGGCGGAGACTTGGCCTTTGAAGATTGAGGTGCATGACCAGGGTTGGTGACGTAAGTCCCACTCAGTGAGCGCCAGGTAGCCAAGTCGTTGGGTTGTGATGAGCTTAACCAACATCGCACGCATGAGGACTCTCAATGATCGATCTGGCGCTGTTGATAAACCGCCGAGTCGGAGTCGGATATCTTCTGACCGATACTGTTTCTGTGCCTGCAGTGTCTGCCTTTTGCGAGATACCTGTAGGTATTTGGGGAAAGCTGTAGAGGATAATATCAAACAAGCTTTACACCTAGAAGTCTGGGAGCAGATGGCGGTGCAATTCAGACACAATAGATGAGGGTCCCACCCAGGATTATTTCCGTGACACTTGCTATAACAGGCATGTATATGCAATGATAGCAGAGTGTAATCACAATGCGTTCCCACCTGATTATGTATGCTAAAATCATTTATCCCAGCCATGTGGGTTTATGACAAACAAGTTTATGCAAACAATGCGAAAAACCACCAGTTTGATATTGATAATATATCTAGGTTGCGACAATAAATTGAAGTACCAAGCAATACAGAGAATACAGAATGCATGACGACCAAAAAAATATGTGACGAGGTAAATTCAAAATGGCTAATTGGAACAACAATATGTGCGATAAATATTATTGCCATGGCATACATCATATGAAAGATATGAAGTCACAAACTGTAAGCACAAAATGCAATTACAAAGATATAACAGTGTTGAAAACACTCAAAGGATTCTTGTAGATTAGAGCTGAGTCTCAAAAACAGGCAACTACCGGGGTCATAGGGTCAGCCACTCTACCAGTTAGAAAAACTTCTTCTTCAGCAAGACCTCTCAAAGCCCTTTCTCTCGGTCAAGAACAAGCAGTAAATGCATTAAGGGGTCATGCAGGGTAAGTTAAAAAATTAAGTACTTTAAGTGACGTGCAACAGCTCTAAGTTTACATTTTTATCTGCCATCTTATTACATGAAACTGGCTACATAATAATGTAAGACACATGTATTACCATTTTTTATGATATTTGCATTTTAAGTTTTAGCTTCATTGCTTTCCGAGAAGAAGATGCATATATCAGGTAACACATGACGGACAAACATGCCATGAAATTATGTCATTCCAATTTTAGTCAGGTGAGCTATCATGAACAACATCAGAAGTCAAATTCTGATAAGGTCACATGGGACTGTTTTTTGTTTTGAGATAGCTATGCTATAAATCGCAAAGAAAAATGAAGAGTGAATAATGGTCCATTTCATGATAAACTTTGTTCTACAATGACGTCATTTCTGGAGAGTCAAACATGCACTCACAACTTGATGTGATATTTTGGACGACACTATTATTGATAGGGGGATTTTGAGAATATGCGGGAAATACCTGTGCATAAAATGAACTTTTCCCGCCTTGCTGTGGTTAGATGGAGGGGGTCATCATTATTAAAATATGGTTATTATTTTTTAAGCTTGTACATTTTATCATCATGATGGAGGCTGTACATAATAATGATATCTCATATTCATATAAGCAATAAATGACTTGTGTGCACAGAGAATAAACCACTCAGGGAGCAGATAAACCAATCCCACTCGTCCTTTATTTCTTAAACATAACCAACATACGACCTGTACATGTCATAACATACTCACATTCTTGGTATAACTTTCATCTTCTCTTCTTCCAACTCGGAAAAATTGGACGACTTCTTTCTTTTGGTTAAGAGTCGTTTTGAAACCATTGCAAAGTGATGATTTGCCACATGATGTTGGTCCAATTACCAAAATATTTAATGTCTGTTTCTTCTCTTTAAATGGACTTAACCTCTCTTTTATTTCTCTCAGTAGTTCATCTGCTCCCTACAAATAAAAACGATAAGTACGGTACAGAAAATAGGTGTGTTTACTGCTAACAGACCAAGGATCATATCAGATGCCATTAAGTATCTATGAACCCACAACTAGCGGATCCTGGCACAGCAAACGGAGAAGCTCAGATACTGGTTGTTGGTGTTAAGTTAAACTGAAACTGGATCTGGCTCAAAAGAACTGTTTTGTTATATTTTGTCAAAATTCGGAATCTAAACAAAAATGCAGCCCCATCTCCATTCTTTCCTGAATGCCTAAAACATTGTGCCCTGAGCTATCTTAATAAAAAAGGCTGTAAACACTTCCAGTGTTAATATACAACACGATGAGTAACACTTGTCAAGTAAGCACTCAGATGATACAACCATTACTTAACTTAAGTCGTTGTTTGTTGTTTGTTGTTTAACACTGCACTCAGCAATAGTTCAGCTATATGATGGCGGTCTGTAAATAATCGAGTCTGGACTAGACAATCCAGTGATTGACGTCATGAACATCGATCCACGCAATTGGAATACGATGACTAGCATCAACCAAGTCAGCGAGCCTGACCACCCCATCTCATAAGTCGCCTTTTTCGGCAAGCATGGGTTGCTGAAGACCTATTCTACCCGGGATCTTCACGGGTCTCCCTAATACAAGGCTGACATGTACCTCGTTTCAATTCTTAATTTATAGATATATGATATATTTTAGAGTGTGTGATCTTGAGAATGAATTATACCTTCAATATCAGTGACAAAGGCCTGTCAAGAACATGAAAAATCCTCCTTAACAGTAAAGTGGAGACAAAGAAGCTAATATCTCCATTGTCTATTCCTAGACATAAACTAATATATTCACCATTGATGGGAATAAGATTTAAGAAACATACAAGCCTTGAAAAAATAATATATGCAAACATTTTCATAATAAAAAAATATTTTTGTATGTCTGTGTACTACGTAAATGCCAGATAATTTCTACTTGAAATATGGTTTTCATGAAGTATAGCCGTGAAAATCCGGGAAGATCCCCAAATTCCTCAAAGGTGTATATCTAAAGGGCCCTGTGAAGATCCGGGTTAGAAAATTGTTTTCAGCAACCAAATGCTTCTTATCATCATTGTAGGTTTTCCGCCCAGATTTTGAATGTGTAGATTGATTTATTGTGTTCTTGCTTAACGCCACGCTTAGCAAGCTTAGCAATATTAAAACTCTTTAAGAGTAACCTGTAGATAATTGAGTCTGCATCAGACAATCAAGTAACATGTCATCAGCATCGATTCACACAGAGAAAAAGTTGTTTAAAGCAATACAGCCAAATTTCACCTATTTGGCCCCACCCCTCAGCCCCTTGGGGGGTCAGCCCCATTTGTACAATTTTGATATCTATCTCTTAGTTCAAGAGAAAAAAGCAGCTGTTTCACAGCAAAAAAAGTTTAGGTTTCCGTCTTCCGGAAACCTTCCGGATACCTACCCATTTTGCATCCGGCCCAGACAACTTCCGGAAACCTTCCAAAAAAATGGGGAAAATTTGGGGGGTGCATTTTGTTCACTTAAGTGTGAAACACAAAACAATTATCTTCAAAATACCAAGAAATTTGAAGGTTGCTGAAGGCATCTGGTAGGTTTCCGGAAGGTATCCGGATGCAAATCTTCTTCATGTCTTGTTTCTGGTAAATAATGTTAGCCTGCTCATAACAGATAGCAGTTGTAATATTCTGGGTTAATTCAATGGTAAATATCCTCCTAAAACATTTTTCGAGAAGACAATTGTTCAATTTCATATATTGTTCTTTTCAGATGTTAATGGTATTTAATGAACAAACATCAGTTCTCGTATAATGATATCCTTAAATTTCATGTCCAGACTTCCAGTTTGTACTGAGAAAAAGAAAAAGTCATTGACAATGTGCTCACATGGGTCTTTGGTCCTTGTGAGATGATAATAAGACTATCTGTAACGGTACATGTATACTCGGACCCCATGGTACCGCGGCATTCATCGTCCCGCGGCATTCATCGTATCGCGGCATTTGTGATTTCCGATAGCTCACGCGGGACACGCCTCTTAGCGGCTGTCTATTAATGCAAATCAGTAACCACGAAGTGCTCACTTCGTAAACAATTTCAATTTCCTCGGAATGTTCCGTCTGCTGTAAGTGAGGAGTTATTAATCAGTTGATACATATTTCTGGCATCTGTTGTAATATTGCCTTACCCCCATCTATCAATGGCCAACGATATAACCCGCAGTTCCCCAAATAAACTTTCTCTATCGACCTGAACTAGACCATCTGCATATTCATGGCGACTAATGAGGTAACGGAAGTTAGGTAGTCCGCACATTTTTTCCCGCTCTGTGCCCAGAATCTTTTGGGAGATCATAAGGGCCATAATGCCAAACTTAGAAAAACGTTCTTCACTATTAACCAAAAGATAAATACATACTTAGGGCATGCTAGGAGTGCTTTTTATATATTTATTGTTGACTTTTAACATTTTCCATTTTGTGACAAATTATTGTCATCCAATTTTTTTTAAACAATCTTAAAATATCATTTCTGATATTTTGATGTTGACTTATAAAAATAATTTTCTCTTACTTTTCGGTTAATATGCATTGGATACCTATTGCTAATAACACATTTAGAATTTTACTTTTACAAATGTTCTCTGTACCGCGATACGATGGAGTTCTCTCCCTTGTCAAACAGAGCGCGAGGCCCGGCTTTTACTCGGAGCTACTGATGTAAATCATGAACTTTTATCAGTAAAATATGCATTGTTCGATAACATGAATGATATCTGATACAGAGAACACGAATAAACATAAAGGTTAGTGAGTGCATTTTTTCCCGTTTAGCGTACATGACAAGTACCGCGATACCCCGAGGTTGCAGGCTACTTGTTATATCAAAAATGCTAACTTCAATGAAATTTGCCTCACCCTAGTTTTATGGTACTACTGTGAAATCTTTTATTAAAAGAGATTGAGAGTTAATTTGAGACTGGAGTTGTAACCACTGCTCATATATGTATGTTCAAATAATATAACAACTACGTGCTTAATACTTCACAAATATCTCCAGAAATAGGCATTTTAGTTATAATTGCAGAAATACTTTATGAATGACCCCTTCACTATTGCCTTGATCTTACACTTCAAGAGTTATCACTTTTGAGTGTGAATTTGACCTTCAATATCAGTGATAAATATTTCAAAAACATTTCAAAGAGCTATCCAGCACATAAACCAAATATGCAGTCCTTCAACTTATTGACAAAAATATGAAAATAATATAACCAGTATATGTATAAAAGTTACTAAGATTTCCGCAGAAGAGGCAATTTAGGGGAAAATGTTGTATATATATATAGGTCACACATGATCTTTTTGCAACTCCGTCCCCTGCCCAAAGGAAGAGTTAGATCAGAAACAAACTTTTTGTCTGGTTGTGACTTTGACCGTTCACATAACAGATCAATGTGTCATCAGACGTTCTCAGAGCTAAGGAAACACGTGTTATTTATTCCTGAGATGCCAAAGCAATGCATGGTTTCATAAGATAAGTGTGGCTATTAAACGGAGGCAAAATCATGAAACATCCCCATTTACACAGCTGACAAATGAAACATAAGCAACAATCAAATTATCAATTTCTTTTATTCATATGCCTATAGTATATCGCACACTGAACAGTGTTCACATGATAGTTCCTGATGCAGTAAGCAAATTCATCCTATTCTTCAATACTCATAACTGAGTGTGATAACTGTTCGCTTGACAGCACCTAAGGATAATGTTCACCAGTTCAGAGAACTTACTCTCCATCAATCCTCCTTTTCTTTCTATATTGCCATGGATGAACAGGAACCAGGATGAGGGGATACCAGTTGGACTCTATCTCTGCTGCATAGTGTTAGAAGAATTGTGAACTTTCCATTTGGTTTTTGGGTCCACATTTAAAGACAATAAGTCCCATTTATCATTCCTTTCAGGTGTTTACCACATGGCTCAAGACAAGAATTTCTTGAATGTCCTGGAACGATCCCACTCAAGCTTGGCATTGGTTGGTCTTCTCACATTAGCCAGACAAGCCTGCTGTCTGCAAATCACCTCTGATATCTGAAGGGGTGCAATCTCTGTTAAGTACTCCCTTGTCTGGTCCTTCCAGATTGTCCACCTGGAGTACTCATCCAGGGATCTCAAGCAGGACTTCAGTTTCTGCAGTATTATGTACAAAGATTTTAGCAATCAAAAAGAATTGTTGCCACATGTAGTTACAGATAGAAGGCAGCAAAATCACTTAAGTTCTCATATGTGAGTCTTGTTATATGCCAAACATTTAAGATAATCACATCTCAAATCTCAACCAGACAAACCAGTGATTAATGTTATGAACTCGGTCCAGACAAACCGATGATAACTATTATGGACAATATCCCACATCATTGTGATGTGATTACATGCGATCAATGAGCCTACTCGATCACTACCTGATCTATTAATTAGGCTTGTATGGCAAGCATAGACTGCTGGGAATCTTTTTAAGAGATGTCATTTAGTGATTGTTTCAACTCATCAACATGGGAAAATATATATTTACAATCCTTGTCATATAGCCAATCTATTGCTGGATGCAGTGTTAAATAAGTGAGTTGGGTTTAACACTGCCTTTAACGGTATTCCAGATATATCACCACTTGTTAGCTTGATGTGGGAAGAAAGCCCTAAGTGACGCAGGTCTTAGATGAATCCCACGAGCATGTGTATAACGCTGACAAAGCTAGCAACATAATCGGGAAGATCCAGGATTTGAACCCATGACTATAGGTTTCTGCTAAGCCCAACAGATCAACTCTGCACAACAAATTTATAGTGCCTTAGATAATAGGACATCTGTGCCCACAGCGATAAGGAACAAACTGAAGAAATATTTGCAAAATAACCATATGAACCAAAATAATTTCAAAATATTTATCACTCACTGTTGCTCTTCTCTTCTTCCTCATTGCTTCTCTTCTATGGTCTTTCTTTGCATTGATGCTGCACATATGACTGTCTCTTTTATTCATCCGGATATTCTACAAACATAAGTTGCATTCACATCACAGAAATGTCCAAACTGTACATGTTGTACATTTGATTCAAATGAAAAGACCCCAGGTGTGACTTAGAATAGCCCTAATTATAATAATTCATGTCAAACATTCAGCGATTACATTTATCCCCACATTTAACAAATGTCAAAACAATATTTTGACAACAAATTCAGGGTCATTCAACACATACACTACATAGGGAATAACTTGTTCGACAATGCAGAGAGATCCTCACCGAGGTGAATATCATTCCATGAATTATTGCCAAATTTTCTTGAAATGCAGATTAATGCAATGCAGTATTTACTTTTATTTCTAGGCTATTTGTTTGGCTTTTCCATGGCACTGTTTTGACAGAGATCTAACCTTGATATGACACTTTCTTCAGAAATGATATGAACTTTATTATTTCCAAGGAAATTTGGGTTACATTGTAAAAGCACAGAGAAACAAGTATAAGATTCATGATTTAAGTTAAATACACTCATACATACACACAAACACAACGACAAAACAACATCCAAACAGTAATCAACTAATGAATTGGGTGGTCAGACTAGGCTGTCATTACTAGATTGCCTGGTCCATGTTTAATTATTTACAGGCCGCCATCACAGAGCTCCAATATTGTGATTGTGATGTTTCACATTGCATTAAAATATACCATGATGAATACATGTAATTTGTAATTATCACACACAAAAATACTCACTCATTACTTCGTATCCTCCCTGAGGATGTCTTTGAACCTCCCCACAAACCCTGAACATACTGAAACAGAAAATAACTAACTTGTCTTAATCCTTTCAAAGTTTCAGTGTGAATTTGTTAAAGATTGATAAGCTGCCATTATTCATTGTAATCCATATCTCACTTTCAGTTGGTTCAGGTGGCAACACATGATTGGAATTGAATGCCACGTTTTGTTTGACATGCACTTTGCCAGATTTATACCCTTGGTAACTAACCCTTATCATCAAATCCCAGCGTTATGTTGAGAATAAGGACACAACCCTTAAAAGTCCTACACCTGCAACTCGTATGCAAGCCCAAATCCCATGTCACAACAAACACTTGATCATAATAATAAAAAAAAGGTTTCCGAAAACAACAAAACTAAAAGGCCCTTGACGTTTACAGTAGTAACATGGAGATCAGGAAAATATCTAAATCAATCCATTCCATAAGATCTCTGTATAGAAATTAAGGAACATTATGTCCCGAAGCCCTGCTACGTACCTGTGGCATCCGCAAGCTGCTCTTCCTTCGGCTGTCAATCGAGTTTTTGAAATACTTGACGTCCTCGTTGTGAATGGCTCAGATGGATTTAGACCGGGATTTCCGTGTTAGAAGTGATTGAGAACAATGTATCGATACACGAGGTAAGCATATCGCAATCAAGCATCACGGTGTACATCGATTACACAAGGTTTGAGTGTTTGTTTACATTTGTGTTCCAAAATGGCGCCCTTGGCCATACAGGAAATTATGGGTAGACTTGCTCGTCCCGGATTAACACGAGTTGGTCACGAATCACGAACGGTCATTTCTGAAGCAGTTACGGAAAGAGACGAGTTTTGCCGATTACAATTCATACAGGCCATATTGGGAGCCGCGGGGATTTCGACAGTGTGTATTAGGAAGTATACCTACGTCGTGTATGGAATATGTGTTTGCCTACCATGCCTAGATAAGGCAGTGTGACAATGGATATCCCAGTGGACGTAATATTCCTACAGCAGAAATATTTCACAACCTCGTCAAAATTGGCGATTGCAGCTGATGTCATGCAGGGAGGTGAAGACGTGACATATTCAGACAGAGACCACATTACATATAGACTGTTACATGTTCTCTGATTCAGCTAAGGAATATGTGAATAATATTGATCACGTATTAAAGTTATTTATCATCTGTAAGCCACTTATATATATTTATATATGTTAGTAAATGTGTGATTTTATTTTTGTAGGATAAGCAATCTACCTAACTTATGTTAATCCTTGCTAATGTATATGATGTAGAAATGTGTTTGCCTACTTATATTCCTTTAACTAGATACTCTAATGTGACTCATTTTCTTAGTTCATATCGTACCGTCAAAGCAATCTGTGGTACTCATCAATCTGTGAGAATGGTTAATAGACTAAACTTACTTTTGCAGGTTTCAAGAATCAAGAACATATTAAATGACAGAAGTTTTGCAACAGTGAACATTGTGAAGTGGAAGATAAGACATTTGAAAGGTATGGATATTTTCACTTGAACCTGTTGAAGAATACCATGATTCGATTCTTGTCATGGGTACAATGTGTGAAGTCCATGTCAGGTGTCCCTTGCTGTGGTATTGCTGGAATATTGCTAAAAACAGCGTAAAACCATACCCACACATGTGGGGATTCAGGGTTGGAATTGGTCCCCATCAACCTATGCTAGTTTTAAGAGAGGGTTATACTATATAGCGAAAACGGCAACTCGCCTGCTATTGCCCGGTGAAAACAGCACCTTGTTATTTATTTTACCTTGGTACTGAACATGCCCGAATACATGAAATTAAACTTGCATGGTCACTTGTAAACACAAATAACTGAGAAATATTAATAACCTAAAAACAGTTTACATTAGAAATTAGTTTCTACTCAAATATAAGGTATCATTGAAAGATCACATGCTTTGAGGTTTTGTGTAGCTTCACTCAGATTAACTCAATGTCAAGCTGAAACTGAGTCTAGTGAAAATGTCAAGGAACTGAACTATAGGTATATTTTATATTTCATATTTATTTTAGTAAGTAGGAAATAAATAGTAATTTTATAGAAATTTCATATATATATCTCCCCTTTCTGCCAGGAACCAACATGACAAGAATGTCTCTCCAGATAACAGACAACAATTAGTAGCACTTTTTGCCAGATAAATCAGTGACATTTTGCTGAAGTGCCGTTTTAGCCTCACCCATAAGAGATAACTTAATAGATCCGGTCATCATGCTCGGTGACCTGGTTCGTGGCATCTGACAGTGTAGTTTGTTGTTCACAATATCAATCACTGGATTGTCTAGAATCTTGGGCCTACCTTTAGAATACAGTACCACAAACTTTTCAAACAGTTCACAATACCCTGTGTTGGAATTCGTAGTGTTTTCTTGCCTGACACACTGGCAAAACAATGCCCTGTGATGTCAGGGGTCATTGGGTGTGCATATATATATGCTGTTTTCAGTTGTCTATCGTCTCCACGCGCTATGTTGTTGCATCAGTTTTAATTATTTTTTTTCTAAATATTGCCTGCGGCTGCACATTTTATAACAAGTGCTTGTTTATGAAAGCACCTTTATTTTCTATATGTTTTTTATTTCATGTTTTACTTATTCCACTGGTTAAAATGATTATAAATTGAAACTTATAATGTGCAATAAGCGGGTATAGTAATAGCTAAAATGACACCTTAGCAAAACGGCACTGATTGGCGAAATACTCGCCGAAAGCGAAAACGGCAATTATTACTTGACGAAAATGACATCTTATTTTTGTTTTACCTTGGTAAAATAAATGAAATTTTAATTGGATTCATGACTTGCAAAGATCAATAATTTTGAAATGTTAAAACAAGTTTGCATTAGAAATTAGCCTCTACTCCAACTTATCCTATACACGACTCAATTTATTGTGATAACCTGCTTTGAAGTAAACTATATGAAATTAAACACACATCGTCTCACACAAATAGTTGTTAAACATTGTAACAAGTTTACCTTAGAAATTAGCCCCCTACTCCAATTTACTTGCCGACTCTGGTTGGCAGACGCAGCTAACTTAATGTGAATAGATTATACGCTTTAAAGTTTAAAGTACTCAATGTCAAGCTGAAACTGTATTTAAGAATCCTAACATGGTGCTGTCAGCATGCGCACAAACAGACTGCCCAGGCACATGCACACCCTGGTGCATCCACTGCAAATCCACCCAACACACTTCACTTTCAAACCAATGCCCATACAGACACACACTCACCCAGCAGGCCAACAAACACATAAACATAGACACGGCTAAAATCCAAACACGAAAATTTGCTACACCTGCATCTAAACCACTCCTCCCTACACCACACCCAAACACCATCCCACAAACAAACACCACACTCATAACCGACAGCTCTGTCTGGGCCCCCTACCGAGAAACTGCACCCACCTCACACACACAAGCAGCCACTCAACCAACCACGAACCCTCCCACATCTCACATAGCCAAATGAGTGAGTGAGTGAGTGAGTGAGTGAGTGAGTGAGTTATTATTTAACGTCACATGGGCACACATAGCCAAAACATCAACCCCCGCATGCAAAACAAACCTCAAAATGACCACCACAACACGACCCTCATCCAAGCACCCTACAGCCCATATGGTAACAACACTCTCCCACAAGCAAGCACAACAACAAAACACAAACACTAAGAAATCATCAGCTACACCTATCCCACAAACACCTTCACAATCCTCCACATCACATGACTCCCCCATGGAAACTCAATCAGCTAAACCTAATCTAACCGATGACGAAGATTTCTCCATTACTGAGGAAACAATAGACACAACTCCAACTAAAACAAACCAAACTCCCCAACCAACCAACATCCAAAACCTTAATAACCTCACCTTACTCCTAGCATACATGCATAGTCAAAACTCACCAAAAGCTAGCATGAAATCCTTCCACAAAGTAGCCTTCAATCTAAAATAAACCAATCTTCCCTTCTTCCTCTTTAACCTCCATCTAAAAGAACTCACCGAATAAAATATAAAATAAAAACTAAATCACCAATCACCCGAACCCAATATTCGAAGGACTAAATATTTTTCAGTGGAACGCCAACGGACTCACCTCCCACGGCCATGAACTAAAAACTAAATTTAAACGAAATAAAGGCCCTCACATTGCTTGTATACAGGAAACCAAATTCTCAAAAAATTCCAAATTCACACTACCTAACTACAACTCAGTTAGAACTGACAGATCTAAACCGAAAACAAGAAGAGCCGCAGGAGGACTAATCATATTTATCAGGGAAGATATAAATTATGAAGAAATAAAAAAAGACACGCCAAACCTAGAAGCCAACGTCATTAAAATCACACTAAATAACCGAAACATAAACATCATAAATATTTACCACTGGGCGGGTCAAAAAGTCCAACGTGTGGATCTAAACAAACTACTCCATATAAGCGATAAATCTACTATATTCCTAGGAGACTTTAACGCTCACCATCCTACATGGAGCATAGATGATAAAATAGATAATCATGGCAAATTAATCTCCGAATGGATAGAAACAAACGACCTAGTACTCCTTAATAGCAACCAACCCACGAGGTACAATAAGATAAACCAAAAAAAATCGGCTATCGACCTTACCATATGCACCGCAGATCTGGCCCAAAGTACTCAATGGGAAGTGCACGACGTCCCGCTAGGTAGTGACCACTTCCCCATAAACATAACCATAGGAAATACAAACGTACCAATCCAAACAGAAAACCAAGAACCAAAATTCCATTACAATAAAGCTAACTGGGACCAATTCCAAGATATCTGCAACGAAGCTAACTTAAACGAAATAGAAAATAATGATCCAGAAACCTATTGTAAAAACCTAACAGACTATATAATAAACGCAGCCAAAACCTCCATCCCCTTCAAAACATCTAAGACAGGCAAACCGACGGTACCATGGTGGAATGAGGAAATAGAACAGACTAGACGAAAACGTAAATCAGCCTTCAATAAAGCAAAACGTGACTACAAATATTTAAACATAGCCCACTAACTAAACCACCAGGTTCAAAAACTAGTCCAAACAACCAAAGGTAAAGACTGGAAAAAATTCTGCGAAGGTATAAATAACCGTACAGATGCCAGAATGGTCTGGCGCAAAGTCCACGCCATCAGAGGCTTAAAACGACATAAAAAAAACCTAACATTGACAACTCAACCAACCCCGCCCAAAAAGCAAATAATCTCGCCAACCACTTTTCGGCCGTTAGCACTAACACCAACTTCAGTAAAAAATTCCAAGATAAACTTAAAACAGAAAACAAACCCACAAAAGAACCAAACAATAACAATCTAGAAATAAATCAACCTTACACAATGGAGGAGCTCCTCTACGTAATCCAAAACAGGAAAAAGGGCACAGCCCCAGGATTAGACTTCTTACCAATTAATTAAAAAAACTCCCCCTAAAACTACCCCAGGCACTACTCAAACTAAACAATCTCATCTACCTAAACGGACAGGTTCCTACTCCCTGGAAACAGGCCCTAGTCATACCAATCCCTAAACCTAATAAACCAGCTAATCAAGCTAACTCATATAGGCCAATATCCCTAACTTCAAACTTATGTAAAGTAATGGAATCAATGGCTAAAAATAGATTACAACATTACTTAACCCAAAATAACATCATAAACCCAGATCAAAGCGGTTTCACTCCTGGCCGCTCAACCCTAGATAACCTCGCCCGACTAGAACAAGATATTAAGACAGGGCAACTAAATAAATAATATACCACAGGCATCTTCTTAGACTTCTCTAAAGCTTTCGACATGGTATGGCACGATGGGCTAATACAAAAACTTAAAAAAATAGGACTCAAAGGTCAGATAATAAACTACATCGAGGACTTCCTAAACAATCGTAAAATAACCGTGGGTATAGACCAAACTCTATCGGACCAATGTCCCCTAGAAAATGGTACTCCACAGGGCAGTATCCTCAGCCCCACTCTCTTCAATATAATGATAAACGATCTATTCGAGGGCCTATCCCCCAAAGTAAACACATCAAAATTCGCGGATGATGGAGCCATGTTGATCCGCACTAAAAGCATGAACATGGTCCAAAATCTACTCCAAAAATCTCTTAATAAAATACAACAATGGGCTGACAAATGGGGCTTCTCCCTTAACTCAGAAAAAACAACAGGAATAGTATTCAAACATAAAAACATGAAACCCGCCTCCCCAATCCTCCAGCTAAACAATCAAACGATCAAATTTCAAAAACAAACCAAATTCTTAGGACTTATTTTCGATGAACATCTCACCTGGGATGCTCACATCCAAAACCTAACAACTAAATGCAGTAAAGACCTAAACACCCTAAGATGCCTAACTGGCTCTAACTGGGGAGCATCCAAAGATACCCTCCTCTCTCTCTACATATCACTAATTAGATCATAACTAGACTACGGCTGCGCAATATACAACACCCTAAACAACTCTCTATCTAAAAAACTTGACTCAATACAATATCAGGCTCTCAAACTAATTACACGCACCCAACATGGCACCTCCTATACCTCACTTCAGGCCTTAACAGGAGAAATGCCACTAAGTCTACACAGGGAACAGCTAAGCTTAAATTTCTGGGCCGCGTCCCAATCAAACCCTCTCATCCAAAACTTAATAAACCAAAACATCAGCCCCACAAACCAAACTCTAGCTCGCAAACACCACTTACTTACCCCAATATCCCAAAGAATAACAAACTACCTAAATGAACTCCAAATTAAAAATCTTAAACAAAACTGCAAACAATCAAATATCTTCACCCCTAAACTTAAAATACCCAAAATAGACACAACACTAGCTAGCCAAATAAATAAACAAACCGACCCAAACATAGCTAAAACTACCACACTAGCATACATACACGAAAATTGGCCAAATTGGTGTCACATTTACATGGACGGATCCTCAGATCCGACCTCCAAACACACAGGTTTCGGAGTCCATACCACACAACCAACTAAAACCACACGATCCTTCCGACTCCCAAACAACCAATCAATATTCACGGCAGAACTAATGGGCATGGCCTCAGCCCTCCATAATCAAGAATCCAAAAAACACAAAAATATCCTAATACTTACCGACTCCCTAAGTGGACTGCAAGCCCTCCAAAACAAAAATACCAAAAACCGACCTAAATTAATAAATCAAATACTTAAAAGCTCCAACGTCCTAACTAAGACAGGCAAACAAATAACCTTCTTGTGGATACCCGCCCACGTAGGAATATACGGTAACGAAAACGCCGATAAAGCAGCTAAACTATCCCTCAAAATCCCAGAAATAAGCTTAAACTTACCTATCTCAAAATCAGACATTAAAAGTGTAAACAAGCAAAAAATCACCAAAAAAGCACCAACCTATTTAACCACCTAAAAACAAATTACAAAACACACTACAGGTAACTGCCCACACTGCAAACAACCAGAAACCCCAGAACACGCACTCATCCACTGCACACACTACCTAACACATCGAGCCGTATTACAAACCACCCTCAATCTAAACAAGGCTCTAACTCTAGAAGCAATACTAAACCCACAAAATAAACTAGAAAACTTCAAGGCCTTAGGCGTATTCTTAATAAAAACGGAACTAATAAAACGCATCTAAAAACACAATAACCTACCAAATCAAAATCACATAAACAAACAAACATCCACCATACCCAGCTCCCTTAGTTCTCCTCCCCAATCCCATCGGCATCTATTCAAAATCTCAAAATTCCCAAATTCTATATAAGCAACCCCTAAAACCCCCTCTTGGGTTGCACAGACCACCTTCGCCCCTTTCGGAAACACATTAAATGGCCTGGCCGGGCCCGTGTGCGAAATACGCATCTTTCGGAAAGCGCACGTTAAATCTCCAAAGTAAGTAAGTAAGTAAGTGCTCACAACACCTCCGACAGGGCAACACCCTCACTCATTCCCACAGGCTACGGCGATGAAGACCCTCAAGCTTCCTACATGGAAACTCAACCCGACACCTCCCCAAGCATGCAACTAAAAAAGCGCAAACTAGACGCATCGGCATCACCTACCTCACACACCCTCTCACCCGCAGCCCTCATTGCCACGTGGGCCCTCTACTTTTTTTCGGCCACCCCCTCAGTACAACTAGCTCCAACACTAACCATAAGTAAAATAGGCATGTGGCTAAGGCAACAAAAAATCAATAACCTAAACATCAAACGTAGCTTCAAAGGATATCAGATAATCTTCACAAATCAGGAATCCAACATAGCAGCAACTAAAATTAAACAAATATTCCAATTCACCGTAAATAGCTCTAAACCTAACTGGCAAATATAAACTAGGGGAGTTATTCGAGTGCACCAAAGGAAAACCGACGAGGACCTCGACATATACGCCCAAGAAGCTAACACTATCCAAACCCAACCACAAATAACTAGCCTCCGCGGGATTAAATCAAACAGAAACGGGAAAACCACCCCCACACCTATTGTGATAATAAACTAAAAAAAACCAGCTGAACACCCTGGAGCCCCCAAACATATCACTTTCGGCGCTAACCATAACTTAGAGGTCAAACCATATATCAAGCAAGTAAAGCAATGTTCTAATGTCCTACAATAGAATCATACCGCTAACCAATGTACTTTCAAAAAAACTAAATGCAAAAACTGTGCCCAAACGGACTGCCCAGGCATATACACACCCTGGTGCATCCACTGCAAATCCATAAAACACTCATCACTCTCGAACCAATGCCCCCACAGACTATCACTCGCCCAACAGGCCAACAGACATATAGACATAAACACGGCCAAAATCCAAACAATAAAAAACCACACCGCAAGCATATAAACAACTACTACCAACACCACCCCCAAACAACAACACTCACGCACGCAAAACAGTATACCCAGTCTCCGTATGGGACCAAAATCAGCGAGACGCATACATCGCAAATGAAACAAACACCCAACACATCCCACAAACTCACACCCTCCCCGCCTCTCACCCTACAATTACCACATCTACACCCGCAAGCAAAACACAACGCACAACGACCATCACAGCAACAAGGGCAACAACACTCCAAAACCTACAGGCACCCCCCGAACACCCAGTCAACAGGGAAACTACAGAAACCACTCAGACTCTCGCACCCAAACCCAGCATGCAACCCACCACCGAACAGAGTGACCAAACTAAAGATAACTAAACCGAAGAGGACGCGTACACATCCTCAGAGGAAATAAACGATCTTACCTTGTCGGCCCCCAAAACCAAAAGCTATAGAAAAAAACTCACCCAAAATGTAGCAAGCAAAATACTTAACAACTTAGTCCTCCTACTAGCTTACATGTTAAAGCAGTCTAATCCAGAAGCCAGCTCCAAAGCCTTCTTTGGTGTAGCACATAAACTAAAACTCGTCACCACCTCTTTCGACCGTTTTAGCAGCAACCTTAATAACCTACTAAAGTAAATACATAAACCAAGCATAAACCAAACATAAATCCACCCAGTTTCCCAATGGAAGGCCTAAACATTTTTCAATTGAATGCCAATGGCCTTCAACATCAGTGATAAATATTTCAAAAACATTTCAAAGAGCTATCCAGCACATAAACCAAATATGCAGTCCTTTGGTAGAATTCAACATATCATTGACCAAAATATGGAAGTAATGTAACCAGTATATGTATAAGAGTTGCTAAGACTTCTGCAGAAAAGGCAATATAGGGGAAAATGTAGTATATATAGATCACACACGACCTTTTTCCAACTTCGACCCCTGCCCAAAGAAAGAGTTAGACCACAAACAAACTTTTTGTCTGGTTGTGACTTTGACATATTAGATCAATGTGTCATCAGACGTTTTCAGAGCAAAGGAAACGTGTTATTTATCTTGAGATGCCCAAGCAATGCATGGTTTCATAAGATAAGTGTGGCTATTAAACTGAGGCAAAATCATGAAACATCCCCATTTACACAGCTGGCAAATGAAACATAAGCAACAATCAAATTATCTTTTTCATTTATTCATATGCCTATAGTATACCACACATTGAACAGTGTTCACATGATGGTTCCTGATGCAGTATGCAATTTCATCTTATTCTTCAATACTCATAACAGAGTGTGATAACTGTTTGTTTGACAGTACCCACGGATTATGTTCACCAGTTCAGAGAACTTACTTTCCCTCAATCCTCCTTTTCTTTCTATATTGCCATGGATGAACAGGAACCAGGATGAGGGGATACCAGTTGGACTCTATCTCTGCTGCATAGTGTTATTAGAATTGTGAACTTTCCATTTGGTGTTTGGGTCCACATTTAAAGACAATAAGTCAATTTATCATTCCTTTCAAGTGTTTACCATATGGTTCGAGACAAGAATTTCCTGAATGTCCTGGAAGAATTCCACTCCAGCTTGGCATTGGTTGGTCTTCTCACATTAGCCAGACCAACCTTTGTGTGTCCCAGTACTATTTGGCATACAACTTCTCGGTCGGCCTCCATTGAAATAACCGGACCCTCGTCACCGCTGTCTGCAAATCACCTCTGATATCTGAAGGGGTGCAGCCTCTGTTTAGGACTTCCTTGTCTAGTCCTTCCAGACTGTCAACCTGGAGTACTCATCCAGGGATCTCAAGGCAGGACTTCAGTTTCTGCAGCATTATGTAAAAAGATTTAAGCAATCAAAAAGAATTGTTGCCACATGTACTTACAGATAGAAGGCAGCAAAATCACGTAAGTTGTCATATGTGAGTCTTGTTATATGCTAAACATTTAAGATAATCACATCTCAAATCTCAACCAGAAAAACCAGTGACTAATGTTATGAGCTCGGTCCAGATGATAACTATTATGGACAATATCCCAAATCAAATCACTGTACATCACATCACAATATCCCACATCACTGTGGTATGATAACATGCGATCAATGAGCCTACTCAATCACTATCTTATCTATTAATTAGGCTTGGAATGCTGGGAATCTTTTTAAGAGATGTCATTTAGTGATTGTTTCAACTCATCAACATGGAAAAATATATATTTACAATCCTTGTCATATAGCCAAACTATTGCTGGATGCAGTGTTAAATAAATGAGTTGGCTTTAACGCTGCTTTGAACAGTATTCCAGATATATCAGCGCATGTTAGCTTGTTGTGGGAAGAAAGCCCTAAGTGATGCAGATCTTTGTGATGAATCCCACGAGCATGTGTATAATGCTGACAAACCTAGCAACATAGTCGGGGAGAACCAGGATTTGAACCCATGACTATAGGTTTCTGCTAAGCCCAACAGATGCAACTCTGCACAGAAAATTGTAGTGCCTTAGATAATAGGACATCCGTGCCCACAGCGATAAGGAACAAACTGAAGACATATTTGCAAAATAACCATATGAACCAAACAGAATAATTTCAAAATATTTACCACTCACTGTTGCTCTTCTATGGTCTTTCTTTGCATTGATGCTGCACATATGACTGTCTCTTTTATTCATCCGGACATTCTACAAACATTAGTAGCATTCACATCACAAAAATTACCAAACTGTACATGTTGTACATTTGATTCAAATGAAAATACCCCGGTTGTGATTCCGACTTAGAACTACCCTTATCATAATAATTCATGTCAAACATTCAGAGATGACATTTATCCCCATATTTAACAAATGTCAAAACAATATTTTGACAACAAAGTCAGGGTCATTCAACACATACATTACATAGGAAATAACTTGTTCGACAATGCAGAGAGATCCTCACCGAGGTGAATATCATTCCATGAATTATTGCCAAATTTTCTTGAAATGCAGATTAATGCAATGCAGTATTTACTTTTATTTCTAGGCTATTTGTTTGGCTTTTCCATGGCACTGTTTTGACAGAGATCTAACCTTGATATGACACTTTCTTCAGAAATGATATGAACTTTATTATTTCCAAGGAAATTTGGGTTACATTGTAAAAGCACAGAGAAACAAGTATAAAATTCATGATTTAAGTTAAATACACTCGACCCGTGAAGATTCCGGGGTAGAATAGGTCTTCAGCAACCCATGTTTGCCGTAAAAGGCCATTATGCTTGTCGTAAAAGGCGACTAACGGGATCGGGTGGTCAGGCTCGCTGACTTGGTTGATGCATGTCATTGATCTCAATTCCGAGGCTCGATGTTCATGATATCAATCACTGGGTTGTCTGGTCCAGACTCGATTATTTACAGACCTCCGTCATATAGATGGAATATTGCTGTGTGCGGCGTTAAACAACAAACCAACCTAAATACACTCATACATACACACACAAACACAACATCCAAACACCAGGGTTAGAAATTGGCACTAGTCATTTTGTCATTTTAAAGGTTTTGCTATATGCTATCATTTTAGGACTAGGGGACTGAAAGTGTTAGTTTCTACCGCTGCAAACAATAATCAACTAATGAATTGGGTGCTCAGACTAGGTTGTAATCATACTCTGAGGGCATGGATCTTTGCTGATAATAACAATCACTAGATTGCCTGGTCCATGTTCAATTATTTACAGGCTGCCATCACAGAGCTGGACTATTGTGAGTGTGATGTTTCACATTGCATTGACATATACCATGATGAATACATGTAGTTTGTATTTATCACAAACAAAAATACTCACTCAATACTTGGTATCCTCCCTGAGGATGTCTGTGAACCTCCCCACAAACCCCGAACATGCTGAAACAGAAAACAACTAACTTGTCTTTATCCTTTCAATGTTTCAGTGTGAATTTGTTAAAGATTGATAAGCTGTCATTATTCATTGTAATCCATATCTCACTTTCAGGTGGTTCAGGTGGCAACACATGATTGGAATTGAATGCCACGTTTTGTTTGACATGCACTTTGCCAGATTTATACCCTTGGTAACTAACCCTAATCATCAAATCCCAGCGTTATGTTGAGAATAAGGACACGACCCTTAAAATTCCTGCACCTGTAGCTCTTATGCAAGCCCAAATAGAAATACCATGTCACAACAAACACTTGATCATAATAATAACAAAGGGTTTCCGAAAACAACAAAACTAAAAGGCCCTTGACGTTTACAGTAGTGACATGGAGATCAGGAAAATATCTAAATCAATCCATTCCATAAGATCTCTGTATAGAAATCATGGAACATTATGTCTCGAAGCCCTGCTACGTACCCCTGGCATCCGCAAGCGGCTCTTCCTTCCTTCGGCTGTCAATCGAGTTTTCGAAATACTTGACGTCCTCGTTATGGATGGCTCAGGTGGATTTCGACCGGGATTTCCGTGTTAGAGGTGATTGAGAACACTGTATCGATACACGAGGTAAGCATATCGCAATCAAGCATCACGGTGTACATCGATTACACGAGGTTTGAGTGTTTGTTTACATTTGTGTTACAAAATGGCGCCCTCGGCCATACAGGGAATTATGGGTAGACGTGCTTGTCCCGGAATAACACGAGTTGGTCAGGAATGACGAGCGGTCATTTCTGCAGCAGTTACGGAAAGAGACGAGGTTTGCCGATTACAGTTTATACAGGCCATATTGGGAGCCGCGGGGATTTCGACAGTGTGTATCAGGAAGTATATCTATGTGGTGTATGGAATATGCGTTTGCCTACCATGCCAGGCAGTGTGACAAGGGATATCCCAGCGGATGTAATATTCCTACAGCAGAAATGTTTCACAACCTCGATTGCAGGGAGCTGAAGACGTGACATATTCAGACAGAGACCATAATACATAGACTGTTATATGGTCTCTGATTCAGGTAAGGAATATGTTAATAATATTGATCACGTATTAAAGTTATTTATATCCTGTTAGCCACTTATTCTGTTTTATATATGTTAGTAAATGTGTCATTTATTTTTTGTAACTTATGTTAATCCTTGCTAATGTATATGATGTAGAAATATGTTTGCTTACTTATATTCCTTTATCTAGATACTCTAAAGTCACTCATTTTTTTAGTTCATACCGTACCGACTAAACTTACTTTTGCAGGTGTGAAGAATCAAGAACAAATTAAATGACAGGAGTTTTGCAACAGTGAACATTGTGAAGTGGAAGATAAGACATTTGAAAGGTATGGATATTTTCACTTGAACTTGTTGAAGAATACCGTGATGACAACTTTATCATGTTGGGAATTTTGGCGGTGGGGTAGCCTAGTAGTTGAAGTGCTGAAGACCAAGGTTCGATTCTTGTCATGGGTACAATGTGTGAAGTCCATGTCAGGTGTCCCTTGCTGTGGTATTGCTAAAAACAGCGTTAAACCATACCCACTCATGTGGGGATTCCTATGCTAGTTTTAAGAGAGGGTTATACTATAAAGGAAATAGCACCTCGCCTAGTATTCGCCTACTATTGCCTGGTGAAAACAGCACCTTGTTATTTTTTTTACCTTGGGTCTGAATATGCCCGAATACATGAAACTAAACTTGCATGGTCACTTGTAAACACAAATAACTGAGAAATGTTCAAAAAGGTTTACATTAAAAACTAGCATCTTCTCGCCGACTCTGATTTGGAGTTGCAACTAAACTTATTGTGAAAATATAATATGCTTTGATTTCTTTGAAGTAAAATAAATGCAATTAAACTTGCAAACACAAATAATTGTTAAATGTTAATCACCTAAAAATAGTTTACATTAGAAATTAGCCTCTGCTCAAATTTACTCATGATTCTGATTGGGAGGTGCAACTAAACTTATCATTGAAAGGTCACATGCTTTGAAGTTTTAAGTAGCTTTACTCAGATTAGCTCAATGTCAAGCTGAAACTGAGTCTGGCGAAAATGTCAAGAAACTGGACAACAGGTATACTATATATGTCATATTTATTTTAGTAAGTAGGAAATAAATAGTAATTTTATAGAAATTTCATTTATATATCTTTCGGCCAGGAATCAACATGTCTCTCCAGATAACAGACAACAATTAGTAGCACTTTTTGCCAAAACAAGGTGCTGTTTTTGTCCGAGAAATCCGTGACATTTTGCTGAGGTGCCGTTTTCGCCTCACCTATAAGAGATAACCGAATAGATCAGGTGATCAGGCTTGGTGACCTGGTTCATGGCATCTAACAGTGTGGATTGATGTTAACAATATCAATCACTGGATTGTCTAGAATCTTGGGCCTACCTTTAGAATACAGTACCTAACTTTTCAAACACAGTCACAGTACCCTGTGATGTAATTCGTAGTATTCTGTTGCCTGACACACTGGCAAAACAATGCCTTGTGATGTCAGGGGTCATTGGATGTGCATATATATGCTCTTTTCAGTGGTCTATCGTCTCCACACGCTATGTTGTTGCATAAGTGTTAATTATTTGTTTACTAAATATTGTTTTAAACATATTTTATTTTACAACTTGTGAACTGGATGGGTAAACAAGCAAAAACTTATTTGAATACCGCTCAAGAATTAGAATACAATATGACATGACAAAAGTACAGTCAAGGAATACAATTATATACGTGTTCTTATTATAGAAACTACGTTGTCGGCGCTGTCAGGTCGCATTTTTAGTAGTAATAGTGTACTGCAATATACAGGAAGGACTAGTGTTATAAATTTTAGATGCTGTGTAAAATCACAAAACCTATTGGATAGCTGAATGTAGTCTTGTACTGATTTAAGAATTTCTAAGTTTATTTTTGACGTCCTTTCAGGATTACCTAATAGAATTGAATTTAGATCATATCCCTTACGTAATAGTACATATTCTGTCTTAAATCATTGTAATTTGGGCATATGAGAAAGAAGTGAAGTGCATCTTCAGTGTGATGGCCACAGCTACATGCAGGATTATCTTATAAATATTGCCTGCGGATGCACATTTTATAACAAGTGCTTGTTTATTTTCTATATGCTTTTATTTCATTTTTTACTTATTACAGTGGTTAAAATAATTATAAATATCAATTGAAACTTATAATGTGCAATAAGTGGGTTATAGCTGAAACGACACCTTAGCAAAACTGCACTGACTGGCGAAATACTCGCCGAAAGCGAAAACGGCGATTATTACTTGACGAAAATGACACCTTATTTTTTTTTTACCTTGGTAAAATAAATGAAATTAAACTTGGACTGATAACTTGCAAAGACCAATAATTGTGAAATGTTAAAACAAGTTTACATTAGAAATTAGCCTCTACTCCAACTTACCCTATACCCGACTCAATTAATTGTGATAACATGCTTTGAAGTAAAATATATGGAATTAAACACACATCGTCTCATACAAACACAAATACATGTAGTTGTTAAACGTTGAAACAAGTTTACCTTCAAAATTCGTCCCCTACTCCAATTTACTCACCGACTCTGATTGGCAGACACACCTCACTTGTTGTGAATGTATTTTTCACTTTAAAGTTTAAAGTACTCAATGTCAAGTTGAAACTGTATTTAAGAATCCTAACATGGTGCTGTCAGATGGGAACAGCTGAGGACTTACAATTATACTCTCTAGAAGGTAACATAAAGCAAGACCAAAACCCTCAACCCCTAATCACCAGCACGCGTAGAATAACCTCAACTAGAAACGGAAAAACGGTCCCAACCTCCATTGTCATAATCAACCTCAAAAAGACCGCTAAATTCCCTGAAGCCCCCAAACACATATCCTTCGGAGGCCACACCAACTTAGAAGTCAAACCCTATATAAAGCAGGTTAAGCAATGTACAAAGTGCCTCAAATACAACCACACTGCCTCCCAATGCACATACCGTAAAACTAAATGTAAAAAATGCGCAAAAACAGACTGCCCAGGCACATGCACACCCTGGTGCATCCACTGCAAATCCACCCAACACACTTCACTTTCAAACCAATGCCCATACAGACACACTCACCCAGCAGGCCAACAAACACATTAACATAGACACGGCTAAAATCCAAACACGAAAATTTGCTACACCTGCATCTAAACCACTCCTCCCTACACCACACCCAAACACCATCCCACAAACAAACACCACACCCATAACCGACAGCTCTGTCTGGGCCCCCTACCGAGAAACCGCACCCACCTCACACATACAAGCAGCCACTAAACCAACCACGAACCCTCCCAAATCTCACAAAGCCAAAACATCAACCCCCGCATGCAAAACAAACCTCAAAATGACCACCACAACACGACCCCCATCCAAGCACCCTACAGCCCATATGGTAACAACACTCTCCCACAAGCAAGCACAACAACAAAACACAAACACTAAGAAATCATCAGCTACACCCATCCCACAAACACCTTCACAATCCTCCACATCACATGACTCCCCCATGGAAACCCAATCTGTGAAACCTAATATAACCGATGACGAAGATTTCTCCACTACTGAGGAAACAATAGACACTACTCAAACTAAAACAAACCAAACTCCCCAACCAGCCAACACCCAAAACCTAAATAACCTCACCTTACTCCTAGCATACATACATAGTCAAAACTCACCAAAAGCTAGCATTAAATCATTCTACAAAGTAGCTTTCAATCTAAAATTAACCGATCTTCCCTTCTTCCTCTTTAACCTCCATCTAAAAGAACTCACCGAATAAAATAAAAAATAATAACTAAATCACCATTAACCCGAACCCAATATTCGAAGGACTAAATATTTTTCAGTGGAACGCCAACGGACTCACCTCCCGCGGCCATGAACTCAAAACTAAATTTAAACTAAATAAAGCCCCTCACATTGCTTGTATACAGGAAACCAAATTCTCAAAAAAAATCCAAATTCACACTACCTAACTACAACTCAGTTAAAACTGACAGAGCTAAACCGAAAACAAGAAGAGCCGCAGGAGGACTAATCATATTTATCAGGGAAGATATAAATTACGAAGAAATAAAAATAGACACGCCAAACCTAGAAGCCAACAGCATTAAAATCACATTAAATAATCGAAACATGAACATCATAAATATTTAACACTGTGGGAACAAAAAGTCCAACCTGAGGATCTAAACAAACTACTCCAAATAAGCGATAAACCTACTATATTCCTAGGAGACTTTAACGTTCACCATCCTACATTGAGCATAGATGATAAAATAGATAATCATGGCAAATTAATCTCTGAATGGATAGAAACAAACGACCTAGTACTCCTTAATAGCAACCAGCCCTCGAGGTACGATAAGATAAATCAAAAAATGTCGGCTATCAACCTAACCATATGCACCGCAGATCTAGCCCAAAGTACTCAATGGGAAGTGCACGACGTCCCGCTAGGTAGTGACCACTTCCCCATAAACATAACCATAGGAAATACAAACGTACCAATCCAAACAGAAAACCAAGAACCAAAATTCCATTACAATAAAGCTAACTGGGACCAGTTCCAAGATATCTGCAACGAAGCTAACTTAAACGAAATAGAAAATAATGATCCAGAAACCTATTGTAAAAACCTAACAGACTATATAATAAACGCAGCCAAAACCTCCATCCCCTTCAAAACATCTAAGACAGGCAAACCGACGGTACCATAGTGGAATGAGGAAATAGAACAGACTAGACGAAAACGTAAATCAGCCTTCAATAAAGCAAAACGTGACTACAAATATTTAAACATAGCCCACTAACTAAACCACCAGTTTAAAAAACTAGTCCAAATAGCCAAAAGTAGAGACTGGAAAAAATTCTGCGAAGGTATAAATAACCGTACAGATGCCAGAATGGTCTGGCGCAAAATCCACGCCATCAGAGGCTTAAAACGACATAAAAAAAACCCCTAACATTGTCAACTCAACCAACCCCGCCCAAAAAGCAAATAATCTCGCCAACCACTTTTCGGCCGTTAGCAGTAACACCAACTTCAGTAAAAAATTCCGAGATAAACTTAAAACAGAAAACAAACCCACAAAAGAACCAAACAATAACAATCTAGAAATAAATCAACCCTACACAATGGAGGAACTCCTCTACGTAATCCAAAACAGGAAAAAGGGCACAGCCCCAGGATTAGACCTAACTTCTTACCCAATAATTAAAAAACTCCCCCTAAAACTACTCCAGGCACTACTCAAACTATACAATCTCATCTACTTAAACGGACAGGGTCCTACTCCCTGGAAACAGGCCCTAGTCATACCAATCCCTAAACCTAATAAACCAGCTAATCAAGCTAACTCATATAGA